CATTTGATCAAAGCATGTTATTCACTCTGTTTTATCATCATACAATCCTTCTATTGTTGTTTCCTGTAATTTTATTTGCAATCATTGCACGTTGTAATTCATGGTCAGCAGTGGAGTTTCATTTTGAGATGTTTAAAAAGATATTTGCTCATAGAAAGGTTTGAAGAATACCTAAAAATATGACTGCGAATATGAGCAAACAGAAAAGAGACATTAAAATGAAGGCACAACGTGTTTGCTGTTACATATAAGAATTGTATGTTTATCTCCTTTAATTCAAAAATCTTTTGTATCCATGAATATCTCTACATATAAATGTTGATCTCAGAGATTGGTTAACATAATTTCTGTCCAGTTATTTGTACCTATTCTCTGGAAAGAAGAATATAAGGGACAGTGTGAATAGGGGTCTCACTATCATTATCAACAATTCACTGTGGCTGGTTTTGTTCAAAGTTGCTTGGACATATTCCTTTTTGGCATCAATTTAGAATGATATCCAGGGTTCATATAACAAAAGGGTGTTTGTTAAGGTAAGGTTTCAGTTACACATACTACTTTTCACCACCAGGGAGTAATATACAGAATGAATACCAAAAGACACCAATTCCTCCAGTCTCAGAATCTTTGCCAGGGAATAGCTGTTACTTTTAATCTGACCCTCTATGAAGGTAATAAAAGTATTTCTAAGGATAATTTAATATATTGTTCTGGAATGAGAAGTTTCTATGTAATATAAAGCAATTAATTGAAATATAAATACATTGAATAAAATGTGAATGAAAAATGTACTGATTTGTATTTTACTCTTTTCCTGTGGCTAAAAAGTCACTTGAATTCCTCTTCTATAGTAGTTAACCGTTTTCTGTGTGTTCATAGTTGTTCTCACATCCCATCTGTCATACATTTTGGAGCCCTTAATATTTACAGCTTCTGCTAATGTCTGTTCCAAATGCCATGCTAAGTGCTACATCTTTATCTGCTGATAGCTAGAAAGATTTCTCCATCTAGTAATCACTGAAAAATTGCTATTAATATCGCTTTTTTGCTCTGAAACTTTTCTTTGACTCAAATGTGCTTCATCTGCATTTTCTCGGCTAATCCCATTAATGTGTTCCTCCATCCCACCATAATCCAATGAATTTCTAGTTCTTGATAAGGGGAGCCACCTCCTATGCAAGATTGGAGGATTGTTAAGAGAAAGGATGCATGTTATGACATATTCTAGATAAAATATTAATAATATTGCCTCTATTTCCAGTGTTGGCTTTCATGCTATCATTGTGTCCCAAAGCATTCCATAATTATGTACAAGTTAAAGGATTATTCTTAGAAAGAAATGAATTTTACTTTTCAGAACAAATAATGTCAGAATGTAGTTATTACCTAATTTCTAAGAATACAAAGAAGTAATAGCTCAACCACCAGCACAGAGGTTGAAGGAGGAATTGTAGAACTCTAGGCTAAATTCTTTGGGGCAGGTACAATTTCAAATAAATGTGGTGTACAAACACCGCTTGACACTACTGACCTCTCATATTTCTTTTCTATCACCCTAAGCAATCATCTCTTCACCTACAGGCACTCAGTGTCCCAGGAATACCCAAGCGGCTCATAGTTCCCAATGTGATGCCAGAAATGAGTAATTGCAGATGTCCCTTGTGTCTTCATATCTTTCTTTGCTCCATTAGAATTTTACTCTTCTAGGTTTCTGTTGGCAGCATGGTCATCTCTAAAATTGTGAGAACAGAAGCAAGAATATAAAGAATAATTTTGTGTCATAAAGCGAGCAAGATTTATCAAATAAAATGTTTTATACTATCACTGTGGATCTATTTGTACAAAAAATTAGGATAGCCAGGTTCAATTTTAGAACTTTTAGACTTTTCAGGGATATGGTGGAATGGAGAGAGATGGCCCACAGCCTGGGGCTTCTCCCCTATCCAGTTCTAACTGCCTCATAAGAGATCTTGCCGGAAAGTAGTGTGCATTCTGAACCACACATCCAGGATCTGTCCACTTTCCTTGGAAATATCTGCACCTGGACCACCTGTCCTTACTAGATGTATGCATGTTGTGGGAACACTCTTTTTTTTTTTTTTTTTTTGGAAAGATTTATTTATTTATTTGAAAGGCCAAGTTACAGAGAGGCAAAGGCAGAGAGAGGTCTTCCATCCGCTGGTTCACTCCCCAAATGGCTACACTGGCCAGAGCTGCACCCATCTGAAGCCAGTAACCAGGAGCTTCTTCCAAGTCTCCCACCTGGGTACAGGAGCCCAAGGACTTGGGCCATCTTCTGCTGCTTTTCCAGGCCACAGACGAGAGCCAAATCAGAAGTGGTGCAGCTGGGACTCGAATTGGCTCCCATATGGGAGGTGGCACTGCAGGCAGTGGCTTTACCTACTATGCAACAGTGAAGTCACCGATGGCACATTCTGCTCTCTGGGGACTGAACTGGGAAAAAGGATCTCAGGCCTAGATGAGGACTTGGGGTTACTTAGGAAGATAATGCTGAAATCACAGAGATTGGAACATAGTCTAGAAGGAGAGGTTGGCCTTTTGCTTTTACCCAAAGTTTGATCATTGTAAAGGATTAGGCCAGGAAAGGGCCAGCATGCTCAACAAATACTTGTTGGTTTCTTATTGACAGTGTTCTAGGCACATGGAATAAAAAGTGAGCAGCTCAGTGTACTTTTCCAGCTATATTCTGGACATGGGAAGCACATATTATAAATGCTAATTGTGACAACCATATCAGTTATATGTTAGAAGGTAAAAAGTACTGTAAAATTTAGAGCAGGGAAAATATTCAATAGATGAAGCAGAGCTGGCTTTAACTGGAAAAGTAATATTTGAGCAAGTTAAAGGCACTGAGGGAGTTATTCAATATATCCAAGATATAGAGAAACACAGACCCTCAAGGCTGTAGTGAACACCTGGAGATGGCATCACACTTGACAACAAGGAAACTCATATAACTGGAATACAGAGAGCAAGGCAGAGAGTTAAAAGGGGAAGTAAGAAGAACTGACAATCAGAATCTATTGTGCACTGTTCTTTAACAGAAATATAACAACAATACAAATGTAAATAAAAAACATTGCATAGCCACCATAAGGTAAAAAGAAATAGGTAACGTCAATAACTACATTACAGAACATTAAATTTCAGGCATTATTTCAACATATAGTTTTTGATTCCCATAGTGCATTTTATAATTGTGTTACATCTCAATTCATTTTAGTTAAGATTTCCATTGCTCAGTAGCCAAATACAGATAATGGTCTTTGAACAGTAGAGAAATACATGACTTTCTCTATTGCTGAGTGACTTGGGAGACATTTCAGGGTTTTAAGCATTGAATTGTCATGATTTATTTGTGTTTTAAAATAATCAAGGCAAGACAAAACTGAGAATACACCATAAGAGTTCAGAAATAGATTCAGGGAGGCCTACTGGACAACTCCAGATATGAGTGGTGGTGCTCAGATGATCACAATGGATGCCACAACAGGGGGTTGAATTTCAGATCACATAGAAAGCAGTCCAAACAGGATGGGTCATATTTGGTGTTTGAGAGTGGCATCCAAAATGACTTCAGGAGCTAGGACTGGAAACCATGCAGTGTGGATTGATTTCAGTGAAGATAAGGTTTTTGGAGAGACTGGGAAATACAGAAGTTCCGTTTTCAACAGGTATAACTCAATTAATGCTGCATATCCTAGTGAGGTTGTTGAATAGGCAGTTGATGTGAATTGGAACTTTAGGAGATTAAGCTCCTAAAATAATAAAATGGGGAGATAAAAACTGGGATAGTCAGCCTTGAAACTGGGTAAGGTCATCAAGGGAGTGAGAAAAAGAACAATATCAAGAACGGAGCAATGGGGCATCTGGAATTAAAAGATTTAGAATGACATGAAATGAAGTACTTCCGAGCATTTATATATTTTTAGATTTTTGTTTACTTGATATGTGTGTGTGTCCATAACTGTCATGGTGAGCTCGCCTCTTTTCTGAAAACTTATAAGTTATATGAAACTCAAAATCTTTTTTTATAAACCTTCACATCTCACAAACCTTCAAGTAATTAACTAATACTATAGACAAATATAAGTAGTAGGGAGTAAAAAAAATAAACTATGGTTGTAAAGGATTTGTAGGCAGGAATCAGTTTTGAATGTGTGTTGTTTATGTGTTCTCTAGGAATGTACAGGGAATATGTTCTTTGATAAGCTTAGCACTAAACCTATTCTAGCATGATTTTAAAATTTTATTTACTTATTTGAGAGGCAGAGAGTGAGAGAAAGAGGGAAATCTCCTATTCACTGGTTACCTGTCTAAATGACTGCTAAACTGGGCTAGGCTGGGACTGCAATCCAGGTTCCCTATTTGGATGGCAAGAATTCAATGACCTAAGCCAACCTTGTTAACTCCCAAGGTCAATATCAGCAAGAAGCTGTAGTCAGCAGTCAAAGCAAGAAATGAAACCCGCATATTCCAATGTGGAGTGCAGATGTCTTTAATTGATAGACTAAACTTTTGTCCAGCAGCATCAATATAATCCTCAGTCTACAAACTAATGCTGCTTTATTTTACTTATGGTAGTTTACCAATTTGTTTTTTCCTGTAAAGTTTGATTGATGGTTAGGTGTACTTATCTCACTGTAGTCACCATAGAATGATACCTGTAGTCTTCAAATCTCAGGTGTAAAAGATAGCTAATAAAATATTCATTATTTTATTGTAAGCATATCTGTGACTTTCCAAAAGACATACACCTTATGCTTCAAATGAGATTCTATCCCTATGGAATCTTGGATTATAAAGTTAATATAAATGTGAAGATGATGTAGAATTCAAATATGGTGTGGAAATTAGTGTACTTAAACTTTAAACTTGAAGTTATAATTAAATTGCTGACTTTTATCTAATTGACTACCTGGAAGGCCAACAAGTTAGCTATAATTTTTTAACACCTACAACTGTTTGTGTCTTTTCAGTCTATTCGAGAAGTCACAGGCTATGTATTAGTGGCTCTGAACCAGTTCCGTTACCTGCCTCTGGAGAATTTGCGCATTATTCGTGGGACAAAACTTTATGAGGATCGATATGCTTTGGCAATATTTCTAAACTACAGAAAAGATGGAAACTTTGGACTTCAGGAACTTGGATTAAAGAACTTGACAGGTAGGAAAATATCCAAAATAGCAAGTAAATTTTATTTTTATACATAATACAATACACAAATACACATATGGTTACCACAGTATGTGGCAGACGGAAGAACACTCTAAAGCATTTAGGTTCCTGCTATTTGTAAGAAATGATGCCCTGTGGTGCCCTTACTTTTATTTACAGATTTACTAAATGCAGCTTGAAGGATATGTAATACTGTATCTCAGCTGAACAGAAGTACACTCTAAGGAAATGCTCAGTGACTGAAAACTGAGATATGAAGCAGGTTTAAGAATGCTATGTTTGGTGGTTTCAGGTGAACAGTGGACCATATCATCAAATCTCTGCAGTAACACCACAGCTCCCGTTCTTGTTAAAGTTCAATAATACCCAAGCCATTATATCCAGTTCTGCAAATCTTTTTTTTTTTACACAATCACTTTGCTTTTAGAAAGCAAATATAATTTATTCAGTAACTCACTAAATGTCATCATTATTCTTTCTTATAGTGCTTCAATATTATCAGAGTGATTTTATCTCCAAGATTTGAGATATGTAATATTAGAAATCTATAATTACCATCTTGCCATGAAAAACCCTGTATAGGAATTTATTTTGCCAGCTGGTCCTTGCAGTGCTTTTCAGTTTCTCTGGCTCATATCCTATGAAGGTTCCAGTCAAAGGCATTTTGGCATAAGGTCTCTATTCATCAATTTTGTCATGTCTACCTGTAATCAAAATGGGTTAATTAGTAATTAATTAGCACCTAACAGTGGTATAAAGGATTTTATACTGTAATTTGATATAAATTAATATGATCTATATATTACAGCCAAATATACAGTGATTTTTTACGAGTTTTGAGTCTACTCAGTGATCATTTCCTGACATTGAAAAATTTAAAGTTTAGAGATATTAGCTTAAAATACTAAGTAAAAAACAAGGTTAATGTTGTCAAGTTAGTGAAATTGTTTCACTTATGGCATATACGAAGTAAATAGTTTTAAGTCAGAAATGCTTTTATAGTTAGCCAAACATGTGAGATAAAATTGGAATCTTTTGGATAACAAGAGGAATAATGATTATGTTGCTTATTTAGACATGATTGCTCTGGCATTGATGAAATGATGGTAAATGCAAGTTGTTCAGAATTTATAGTTTCATTCGTCATCATTTTTTCTTTTCTTGCTTTCAAAGATAGTTTTCCTATATAGAATGTGATTTTTTTTCTAAATTACTACTTATATGGAAATAATGATAGTAGGAAGGACTTGGAAATGAAATGGGTAGAGGAAAAACAGAATGATTGAAATTAGGAATCTAAAAATATGGTCTGGTTAAAGCTTGTATAAGGAGCACTGTGGTTTTTTCCTGATTTTCCACTGATTATATTTGAGAAACATTAAAACTACTAAATTTATCTTTGAGCTTTTTATAATATTTGAATTCTTTTATAATATTTGAGGCTTGTTATTGTTTAATAAGATTTGGCATTTAAAGAATCCTTTCATACAAAAAATATTCTTCCAGAGTTTCTTATTTATTTCTATATTCAATATCCGTATGCTGAAGCATTTTTAAAAATTATTTAATCAAAATGATACTACATACAACCCTACCTGATGTATTCAGTGAGCCTACACCATGTTACTTATGATTGTGAAAGTTATTTAACTTCTGTCATACTAAAATATGACCATTATATCAAAATACTGCCCTTTGCTTTACCTGAAAGCCTTGTAATATTTTCTCTTGCAGTATTGAAAATGCATAATTATTAATGATTAAAAGAATTATTTTATTGTTTTTGAAAAGTGTATTTGCTCAAGAGTTATTAGTTTCTGTCTTGAAATGTGGATTCAACAAAAGTACAACAAAGGTGGAAAATTTAAAAATTGTCCAGCTATTTTAATAGGTGAATAAAATTTTTTGCCCCAAATTTTTGTGGGAGAGTTTGTATAGATTCAGTGAATTTATTTGTGTGATCTGACTGGTTAGTGTGACTCTGCTATTAGATTCTTGAAGGACCAACAATGTCAGCATCATCTGGGTTCTTATTAGAAATGCAAAATTTTGAGTCTTATCTGAGACTTTCTAAATAAAAAACTCTGAGAGTAGAACACAACAACATGTGTTTAATGTATCCTTCCAGTGATTCTGATGATTGCTAAAGTATGAGAAACATTATTTGTGGTTGAGTAAAGATATGTTACCCAAAAATGGAAGCACAATACCTAGTAAACCTCTTAACATCTATTGGATACAACTAATTTTCACTCATTTATTATCTTGTGGAGAAAGGGGAAGGGATTGGACAGAAACAGGAAAGTTTTTGATTGAATATAAAGAAATATGCCCAAGGTTAAGATAGAAATGCATACAACAAAACTGCTTAGGATTGAGGAAGATGCTGCAAATACTTTCTATATTATCATTTCACCAAATGCAATCCCTAGACTAAGAGTTTTCTACACAATCAGAAAGAGAATGAGAAACTTGGCAAACTCTAGGTGCCCTATCATACTGGCTCAGCCTTTTCTGGCCGGGGAGCAACCACACTCCATCAGTATGTCCCTCAGGCACCTCACCAGCTCAGTCTCAAGGCCATTGGATCCAACGAGGACATGGCTGGAGAGGATATGCCTTCCTCTGCTAAGGTCACTTGCTTGTGGTTCTGGTTTTTATCAGTAAACCCCAGTGATGATATCCTGCTGGATTTTAAATTAACTCTTCTTAATCAGCATTCCTATTCAAAATTCAAATCAACATTTAATATTACATTTGCAACTCTAAGTTTAGAAGTTTCTACTTATTCACTAGTCTGACCAAAAACCAAAGAGGAGTTTCATTACACTGAGAATTCAAAACCACTATTATTTCCCCCTTTCTGAAATTTATAAATCACCTTATATGTAACTAATTATGGATAATATTGTAAAGTTTCATTTATATGTTTTTTGTATATATGAGAGAATCTATGAGAAATACCTTAGTCCATCTATCTATTAGATAATATCTATAATGACTAAGTATAGTAACCTGGGTACAGATTTAATATATACAAATTTTACCTTTAAACATTTAAATTTTTACTATATACATTATGAGACTGTGGAATTTGGAAGGTATAAATTAAATATTTCACTCAATATTCCCCTTCAAATGTGCATAAATCATTAATTAAAATAATACATCAAGGTAACACAATACCTTCAGTTTATCCCTTGTCATTATTCAGTAATGATCAAATAAATAACCTGCAATTAACTCTGTGTCATTCAAAGAGCGTGGATATGGAGTCAGAATTATCTGGTTGAAACACCTGAGCTTCCACTTACAGTCTGGGTGCTCCTCTGAGACTTGGATTCTTTATCTAGAAAACAGTGAACAAGATTCTCAGTCACAGCGTTGTTAGAGGCATTAAAGAAATAAAGCAGGGAACTTGGCAGCTATGGCATCTTTCATGTAGAGAATGCTAGGAAAACCTTCATGCTCTTTACCTGGATCAGTTTTGTGTTTGCATCCCTTTGTGTCAACACACTGACAAAACTATTGTCTGTTTCTGAATGTTCACTTAGATTCCTATTGCCTTGCTGGGGCTATGGATGTGAATCGTTTAGAGAAAAAGAATCTGCACGTTGTAGTGTGTCTTCTGATGCGACTTGGAAACTGCTTCATGGATGGGATCTGTTTCTCTGGCAGTGAGAAGCCTGAGGCTTAACTTTGTCTCAGGAAGAGTGCTGTCTTCACCACCTCACAGCAGTCCTTCCCTGCCTTTCCGAGTCTCTGGCCAGCACCTGTTGCGTCAGCCCTTCATTGCAAATCTCCATCATCATATTTCACCCTTCATTGGCTCTGACATCTGTCTTGACCCAGACAAGGGACATACTCGTGCTGAGTTGTTTTTCTGACACTAGATTTGCTGAGCATTCTTCAACTGCTCTGTGAAAGGTCTTAGTAATGTTTGAGTGGGTTCAACCAGTCTAGTTCAGGGATTATTACTAAATAGAATGTTTGACAAAGCTACATTTACATTAGAAAAACTAGTCAGTACAGTGTGATATTTGCAGCCAAAAAATATTCTAAGACCACTACTAGCTGAAAGGATAAACTACTTGGAAAATGAATATTCAAACTAATCTATAATGAGAATTACGTGATTCAGGAAGAATCATAGAAAAATTGCCACCATCTTATGAACAAGTCAATTTTTAGATTGTGTCCACTATTTCTAGAAATGATATTCTAATCAATGTTTTTAAAGAATGTCATTTGCTTGTTATGTAAGAGTGTGTATTGACTCGAAGGAAAATAACAATGATGTATTGATGTTTGTAGATAAAACAAGAACATGTTTCAAAAGAGGGAATGTTATAGTTGTGAGATCAGAGAGTTACAGTGGCCATTTCAACATTTTTTTTCTGGGACTTATTCTTAGCTTTAGGAAACTCATGAGTCAATTTATGGAGCTAAATGAAGGGGGATTGAAAGCTTGTTCTTCTGCAGTACCAGGAAGCAGAGAGGAGGTCAACAGTGGAGAAATAAGCCATGGGGGTGAGGGTGGGGAGTGGTGGTAGCAGAGTGGGGTTCCCATGGAATAGGATAATTCCTTCAACACTGGCTAACACGTTTTCAGACCAAACCCGTAAGATGGTCTGTTCAGGCAGTAACATGCACTTACCTTCATTTAAGTCCCATTCAGGGATCCTGGAGTCCCCATTGTCTGGAGGCTAATCTATTTAATTTTATAATATTCTTCAGGAAGCACTGGGACATGTCTAACATGTTAGGAGTCCCTGAGCAAAATAACCCTATGTGGGACCTTATACTTTTGTGATTGTTCTCTCTTGCTCTACAGATAGATGCCAATATGTGCATGTCCTTCCCTCAGGAAATGCAGTATTCTAAGTGAAGAAAAGTTTTAAAATCATCAAACCCCTTTTAAAGCTCTTTTATTGAAGAAGTATACTTCTTGCATATCACAGAAAATGGCAGAGATTCTTTGCACCTCG